GGGCTAAAATATAGAACTAAATTTGATTGCTAAAACATTGGCTTACTTTCACGAGCTCCTTCACAAGAGGGATAAAAATGCTGGGAAAGAGTGGAAAGGGTTATTGTGCAGATAACTTTTGATTTGCTGTAAAGCATCCCTGATCCATTCACTATTATCCACCAGCTTTGGGTCCTATTCTTATTTCCAGAAGTACACTCCAATCCTAACAACATGATAGTTAAAGGAACCTGACCAAGAAATTATTAAAAAAAAAAAAAAGGTGAAGATAAGACTACAAGTTGCAAATACAATGTGAATAAATCAACTGAGAGTAACTGAACCAGATTGCAATACACAATATTATATAATTGTATTAATAAATATGAATATTCACACAGTCTCTCTCATCCCCTTGCACACACATACATGCACACCAAGAGAATCACACACAGAGAGAGACAATTCCTTCAGGTTTATACCCATTTCCCTGAATATAAGCAAAGTTTTTAGGTGTGGATATAGAGCTATCATTGCATGACCTTAGCCAATGACAGTTAATTTCTTTGATTAAGTTTTTATTTATTTGTTTCTTTGTTTGTTTGTACTGGGGATTGAGCCCAGAGCCTCGAGCATGTTAGACAAGTGCATTACCACTGAGCTATATCCCCAGCCCTTAAGTGTCTTATTTTTAAAAAGAAGATTATTGTCCGAATCCCTATGTATGGGTTTTTTGCTAATTTAATTACATGGATATATCATTCATATTATAATGAACAAAAATACAGTTACATTATCAGATTATTTTTATGTCTTATCCTAGTGAAATCCATGCCAAAAAATCTAGTATTTCACATTTTCACAATTGTTTTATATGAGATGCGTAACACCAAGTATGTATGCAAAGATTGGAAAAGGCTGGTTAGGTGGACAGTTAGCAAGACTGTCTGGAAAGGGGCCTTTTGACCACCATGTTAGCCAGATGTGGAAATGGAACAGTTAATGAGGTGAATAAAAGAATAATGTATTTTGACGTAGTATTATATAAACTCCATAGCAATGTTGTAGATCAAAGTTAAGAGACTTAGATATAGAAATTTGAACTTGAATGCATTTTTGTGCATTAGTGCTCATTCCTTCAGTATCTTCCTTCAGTACCAATCAGCTTCCACCCAAGGTTACATGCTGTGAAACTAATATCAACAGCTCAAGTTTCAGACACAAATTTCTAACTGCCTGACAATCAACTTCAGCTCACAGTCTATGGATGTGTCAAACTTAACATGTCCTAAACAAAATTAAACCCCTAAACCAACTCTTATTCTTGTTTTCCCAACTCGAATTAATGGAGTCACCATTTACTCAGGCCAGAAATTATATTTTCATTGACTTCTTCTCCATCATCTTTTATATCCTGTCAGTTACTTTTTGCCGYAACCCGGCTGTGCACAGAAGCACGAGCCACCGAAACCCGGCTGGGCACAARAACACGAACCGTTCAAGCGGGGAACAAAGCTTTATTTTAAAAAAGCCACCAGCATCCCGTGTGCATCCTGCTAGCAAGCCGGTSGACCCACGTGTGTCACCGSAACCGGGCGCTGGGACCTCCCCCGGAAGTTCCCTCCTACTATCCTTCCCCAACCAATGGGAACTCTCCCATTACATGAGTGACATGAGTAACCTGAGTCCCTTAACAGGCCGAGGCAAACAGCAGGAGTCCAATTACCATATGAATGTAAAGCTTAACATAATCATCTCAATGGCTAGCTGGCAGTCACCTAAACCAAAGGTACCATGTATCAATACTTTTGCTGTGGCTCCTAGCAACTTTTCATTAATTTTATTTGAATAATTTAAAATTTCCTCATCTTCTGTCCCTCCTACTATCCCCAACTTGATTTAGACTCCTATATCTGCTATCCAAATCATTATAATTGTAATGGAGGAATGTATAAAAATAAATTTCATCTAAAGTTAGTATCTCCTTATTTATGAATATTATATATCCTTTCATGTACCTCCACTTCTCACTTGATCCAAACTTCTGTTTTAGTCAATTAATATTTATTTTAAAATCATTATGTTTTTTCTGCCTCCTCTGTTAAACAGTGTCTTGCACAAATGCAAGACTCTTATCTCATTTACGTTCATATCATTAGCAACATTAATAATGCCTGCACTTTATAGGTGTTGGAAAATGTTTTTGAATAAAGAAATTCCAGGTGCTATAGAAAAAAAGACTCTCGGCATTAAGTTAGAACATTTTAAATATATTTTAGCAATATTATTCATTAGATTATAAATAATTTGAATTTTTGACTGTGTATTACTCAAGTCCACATTATTTCCTCCCCTGTGCTAAACTGAATTAAATTTCTGCAGAAATGTGATTTAGTGCTGCATTTCCTCCATATTCCTCTCTTATTTTCCCTACTTGCTTCAAAAAGAAGTAGAAAAAGTAGTTTATAACACCCTGTTAAGATCTTATGTGAAAATATTCACATAAAAGGGATTCKAGATCCCCCAAATTATCTTTCTTCTTATTTATTCTTTTGCAATAATGTAACTGAGTCTTAATCAAAGCCAACCTTGGAAAATATCCTAAACAAAAAGAATACTGCGACATAAAAACCAACAACAAAAGACAAACTAAGACTTAAAGAACAGGATCAAAGTACTCATCCTCTCACATCCCAGATAGAGATCATTTGTTTCCCTAGAGAGCTGGGACTTGGGGTGGCCCTTGAACAAGAAATGGCTTGGCAAAAGGAAGTACCAGATTTATGCCAGGAAGGTGGAAAAAAAAGACTTCAGATTAACAATTTAAAAGAAATAGCCTTAAAAAAAATTTTTACAGATCCACAATGTAGTTTGATTGACAAAAAAACAACCAATCATTAATCAACTAGTCATCATGTGTGGATGTGTGTGCAACTTCAATTGCACACACATGTGCGTGCGTACACACACACACACACACACACACACCTATTGTCCTTACTTCCATCTAGTACAAGATAATGTGAGTATTGTTTCTCTCTTAGCCTTTGCTGGTGGGAGGGCTAGGGCAAAACACAATGCTCCAGGATACTAACTACATTGATGGCTATTTGGGGAATAATTAGTCCATACTCCTTTCAATATCTTACTTTTCATTTTCTTTTTAAAAATACTTGATTGTATCTATATGTAGCAGAACAAAACAAAGCACTATCAGATATTATAATAAGAGAGTGAAATGTCTCTACAGTGTATAGAACTTATTCTTCAATCTTTTACCCTTAACTTCTTACAGCTAAGGAAACTGATGCGATGATTACCTAAGGCACCAAGTATGAGGAATAAAAGAAGATATGGCCCAGGAAGTGGGGATTGTAATAATCAAGGCAGTTAGTATTTATTTTGACTTATAAAAACATACAACTATGAATCCACAAATATATATTATTTTAATGTTTAGAACCCAATTTGCTTGGAAGGAAGAAACATAAAGTTCTCTGCACCATTAACAATGATAATAAGAAAATAATAGGAGCTTAGGGAGAAACAGAAGATGAGAGATTGATGGAACAGGCATCAGAATATTGTTATTAGTAATGACTTTTCAAAACAGGGAGATCTTATTTTGCATTTGAAGTTAGRATATGAACTCCCACTCTATGTCCCTAATGCTCTCGGCACATCTACTCTCATAAATACCTCTGTGTACTATGTTGTTCTTCATGGTTTTCATTTTGTTTTGTTGGCTTTGGTAGTTAAAGGGTCAGGCTAGGAGCTGATGTTGATGCTTTGGTTGAGGGATTGTGAAATAAGCATATCACATGAACTGTGGCAACATGATCCATACACTGAAATAATTTAGTGCCTGCAATATTGTGGAGCCAGAGGTAAACCACGATACCACAACCTCTCAAGACTTCCGCATAAATCTTGAGAAAACCATTGACTTTTTCTGTGAGTAGGATGGATCTAAGCCAACTGTACCTCCATAATTGGGGGAATGAAGGCCCTAACTAGCCTTTAATCACATACATTGTACTGCAAACTCTTTTTAAAATGGGGATTCACTAATACAAAATTATGTATTTACGTGTGTGTGTGTGTGTGTGTGTGTGTATACACACTTGCTTTAATAATGCAAAAAAATGTAATATATGGCATCTAACCACAGAAGAAATTTACATGCAGATTGCCAACTTCTGAATTTATATCAAATAAGTTTAATATTCTGAAGTGAATATAAAGGTAAATGTGAAAAGGACAGAAAAAATAAGAATTTCTAGGCCCACAAGCATAGGAATATATATGTTTGATTTGTTGAAAATAAATTGTTTGGTCTTTTCACTGAATTTTCAGCTCCATCTGTTCTTTCTGATTACTTAGTGTCCCAGCACTTAAAATACCTGGGGAAAATGAGAGAAGTATAAGGGACTGTCCCTACTACTGATGAATTTTTTAAAAATCATAATTGCTTTATACTTTATGGAACATCGATACACAAATTACCCCCAACTAAACTTACAATGGTCCAGTGATATTGAGTGATAGAGAAGCATTTATCATATCCATTTTGGAGAGGAGGCTACCAAACTCCTAAGAGATAAGTGATTTAGTTAAACATGACCAGAGAGCCAACTCTGACTAACCACACTTTACACTAGTCCAGACTTCTTCCCAGAATAAAATAATTAAGATTTGGTTATATAGAGAAAGCTGTATGGATCCTGCTGACAATAAATGCAATCATTTTGCAATTTTTAAATGATGTTACACTAAAAGAAATTAGCAAGGGAGAAGTATCAAGTATGGTTAATATAATATGTTTACATAAGTAAAATAGCTGTGCTATAGATATACAGCTGTTCTATAAATCTATTAAAGGTTTTGTTTCTATAGATCCAAGTTTGTATCCTATCTTTTTTTCTTCTGGTACAGAAGAAAAAAATGGTACATATCATAGAAACGCATTGCTTTGCCAACAACACAACTAATCTAAGAGTGATGGCCCAGCTACCACCTACCTTGCAAATTTCGAGGAACTTCTCACTGGTGTATTTCATAGGGTGTTCAGTGAACGTAGCATAAGGAACTTCAGTAGACCATGGGTTCCAGCGAGACAACAGGGACTGCTCCTGTGGACTCCCCCAGTAGATCCTAAGACCCTCTCCAGGTCTCCTAAAAGAAAGAGTTTTCCATTAGGTTAGTCATTTCTACCAGATTAAAACAACCAAAAACAAGTTTGGGAAGGCAAAGTAATATTTCACTTKGCTTTTCTACCGCTGCTGAGATTAGTGGCTTACTTCCCATCTAGTTCAATTATTCTAAGTAATTTAGAAGGTAAGAAGAAAATAATAAAATTATTTTCAAACATGGTGAGTTTGTTGTTGAGAATTCAGCATGAAAATGGAAGTCTGGTGCTCATGACAGTGACCAGAGCTGGTAGTATGGGTGTTAAACTCACACTAACATTCTGATAGCAAGAATTAAGAAGGAGAGAGAGAAAGGGTATCAAGTAAATGGGACAGGGACAAGAACAGTCAAGGTGACATTACAACAATGTGGTGGTTTCCTTAAAGCAGTAAACATAATTAAAAAGTGGGAAAGACATGGGACATAGACAGTTGGTAGGACATAAGGGATGAGCAGTTGAAAATGTCCAGTTTCTCAATTCAGTGGTTTCAGCTTCTGTTTCTCCTGGCCCTTCGTTTTCTGCACACATTCCATCCAGTGAATCTGTCGCAAAGGACATGTTAATGTTTGTAGGGAGATCGTGCCTGCCCCTCTCAGTAAATTAACAGCCCTGGTCAATAGTATGTGGGAAGAAGCCACTGTCTGGCATAGACTAGTTCTAGTCATTGGATAAATCCAAGTGCAGACCAAGAGAAAGTCAGCTTTGGAATAGTAAAATCATGGCAGAAGAGTGTGCCCATGTTGGTTAACAAAACTGTCATTTCTATGGCCTGTTCTTTTGGATGTGCCCATAAGAATTTAATGGTTGTGGGTTTAAACATCTCTGAATGCAAAGAAATGCCTGGAKGTTAAGCCAAGCTCAGGTGCCTTGCATTCAACCAACTTCAACTAAGTTGCCGGTAACTCTAAGCAGCCCTATGAAACATTACAGAGGTCTGGTTTCTTCTAGAAATTAAAGCCTTGGGATTTCTAGATGAAAACCTGGAGCTTAATTGTTATGCCTTCACAAAGCTGTCACTTCCTGTATTAAGGAAGGATTCCTTTGGGAATGCTCTTGTAGTTTCTGAATGTTTATCCCTGTAGAGGTGTGCACAAACACAACCTCACACAAATGCCTATCACCCCAGCCTTCCCAGGTGGTGGATCCCTGAGCTGCTTCCTACAAAAGGAAAGAAAGAAAAGAGCCCAGCACAATCTACTGCCCATTCTCACAGTTTTGGTAATTGAATTTGAAAACCAACATGTATCGTTTTATGTAGTTAACGTTTTGCCAAAGAAGGAAAAAAAATAAGAAAAAGGGAAAAAAGCAAAAAATATTGTGCATGCCTCTAAAGTTCCCTTTCTAAGCCCTCACTTTCTCAGAGACTGTACTGGCATTTATCATTTCCCCCAGCCTGGCACTTTCCTTCACTCTTTTCTTTTCCTGGCTTGGCAATAAACACTGACCTCCATGAATATTCTTTTTTTTCTTTTTTGGGTACCAGAGATTGAACTCAGGGGCACTCAACCACTGAGCCACATCCCCAGCCCTATTTTGTATTTTATTTAGAGACAGGGTCTCACTGAATTGCTTTGTGCCTCACCTTTGCGGAGAGGCTGGCTTTGAACTCTTGATCCTCCTGTCTCAGCCCACCCCAACCCCCCTACCCCCCAACCTCCCACCCCTGGAGCTGCAGGGATTACAGGCAGGCACCACCCTCTCCWGGCCCTCCATGAATATTCTAATCATGCTGGTTAATGGAACTTTCTGGCTTGAGTCCATTAAAACAACTTGCACAATGGAATTATTTACTGCTTCATATGTCAATTTATGTATTGGGTGCAATTTTTCTCTTATCCAAAGGGGATGAAAACCTGCCAAGATAGCTTCTCTAATAAGTACCCATGATTTTCCTTTACCTTAGGGAAACACTAAATGAAGTTTGAGCTTTGGTTACTTCTGAATAACCAATCAATTTGATCATGGCAGTGAGCTTTTTCAGAGATGTAGTATACTCTTAAATGTAGAAGTTCAAGTAAACTTCTTTCCTGAACTACAGAGGAAAAAGTTGAAAAGATAAACCTAAAACTAAGTATTCTCTCCAAATGCAAAAGGTATRGGGCATACCAAGCCCTATAGTATCAGAGGCCTATTTAAAGTCTATTATCATCTTCTCTCCTGTCATATGACCTACGGGAATTGTGGAGACTAGAGGTGTTTTTATGACCAGAAATGCTTCATGAAATAGTAACTTTGTGTTTACATGATATGTCATGTAAGCTGGTAAAATGAAGTTAAAAAGTGCAATGAGCAGGATCTCTAATAGTTCTGTGTTACAGCCCTGGTTTTGAAGTTCCATGTGATCATGGGTAAATCACATTTCCCTTTCTGACTTTGAATTTAAATCACTTCTTTTTCTGAAACTTTGGAACATATTTTCTTATATGGAGAAGTAATATGGCTGTCAGTTCTCTTCTTTAGAGAGTCTTTAGAATGTCACATTCCATGACCTCAGTAACTGTGTAAGTGATGTCAATAGCTATAGTTACAATGCTACCAGCATTCACCTAGCCAAGGACATGTAGCATCCAGAAGGGGCCTCTGGGTCATGGTCTTTTTAGTTTAGAGAAATAAACCCTCCATAGCAGAATAGTCCCGTGCTACAGAAGTCACACTGAGTATTGTTGTATCACTCCTAGGGAATTTTAAGACTTACCACAATATTTTATAAACACGTAAAGGCATTAATCAACCATGAACAGCAGGGATGGGATAACAGTTTAAGGTTTGTAAACTAAAAGGTCACAGCTAAAAGAGCTCTTAGAATTCATAGCTCCATGCCTTCTCTCTGAAGATGGGAAAACTGAGACTCAGTTCCAGGACTTTCCCAAAGCATCATGACAGAAAAGGGATGAGCAGGAGAGAGCCCTGGTCTCCTGAGGCAACGTTCAGGGCTCCTGACATCATTCTGGGACACACAAAGTACATTCAGAGTTAAGATCATGCTACTACACAAAACCACCTTCTTTCCAGTAGACAAAAGTTAAAATTAAAAAGGAGCCTGCCATTGTTTATGGGCAAAAACCTTGTCTAGGGATCCTAGCTAGATATCAGAAAGTCTTTGTCTCAAGACATAGATTTCTATAGACACTCAATATTAGCAATTATGAGATTATAGGAAAATAAGGTAGGACTGGCAGTGAAGGGGAGAATAACAATTTCTGCCATGATTGTAAGAAGAGTGGGCCTTTCTCACTGAACTGCTACAAGGGGTTAATTGAAGTGGGGGTACAGTCCCAAGACARGAATGCCAACACCCAATTATTAAGCAATGAAAGAATTGGTGCACTCTTCCTAAAATCTTACTATGGGAGTCAACTGGGTTTTCCAACAGCTCTATATGTTTGGGCATTTTTATACCACCTTTCTGATCTTTATGTAACAACAATTTTGGAACAAGAGGATGATAAATGATAAAAATGTCATATGCTACAGGGCACTATCCAACTAACAAGTATTAAATGCTCACTGTGTACTTAAATATCTACTATGAACTATTTTAAAATTYGCATTTTTTAATTTTATTTCACCCAGATCACAATTTTCTTGAGCAAAGTTGGAAGACATAAAATAAGAAAAAGAAATAAGATAAAAAGGAAATAAAATAAAGAATATGACAAGACTTAATCAGATCATCAAATGAAGAACTGCTAGTGAAACAGAATAAAAAGGGGGAAAAGGAAACACCACAACCACCCAACACTGCTAAAGTCAGAAGAGTGCATCTAGTGTATAGCACAGAGGGAGTATTGGGGTGTTTTATGTTGAACAGAGCTATTGACCCTGCTGCTTCCATCTAACTCTGGGTCCCAGGATATTTCTTTTGCATTCAACCTCTGTTTCCCAGTAACATTTTGATGTATATGATTTCCTAAACTTAAATCGTTCTGATTGACTCTCATTTGGATAACTTAAGCCAGTCCTGCAGTTGCCTTCTTTTTTTTTTTTTTTTTGAGAGAGAGAGAGAGAGAATTTTTTAATATTTATTTATTTAGTTTTCGGCGGACACAACATCTTTGTTTGTATGTGGTGCTGAGGATGGAACCCGGGCCACACGCATGCCAGGCGAGYGCGCTACTGCTTGAGCCACATCCCCAGCCCTGCAGTTGCCTTCTTCAGACCAGATGAATATGGTTTCTTAAATAGCTTTCTAATGGGCTAAAAATAATTTTTAAACTATCCCAGAAGGGGCTCCCTAAAACATTCCCAAATTCTCTGTCTTCAATCCACCCTTTACACAGAACATTCTCTGTTCATGGAATTATTCTGGGTAAAAAAATGAAGAGGCTCAACATCTAAATCATAGAAGCCATAATCCTATGGCTATCATTTCCTTCCAAGACTCAAACAGGTATAGATAGAAACCTGCCAACCTCATTACAGAAGTAAAAGATCACCCCTTACAATTTAGTTTTATTTCCACCACTTTGTATCCTCAAGGGAACCAGCTGTATCTGGTCTGCATTCCCATACTGGTGGAAGTAAGGAGGGCAATGCAGTCTTCATTTCTGGTAAACTTCAATGCTGAAAGAGATAGAGGTAAGAGAACCATCCATAAAGACTTGGTAGAAGAAGGCTTGTAATAATCAGAGATTATTAGAATCCTAGACTGAGTTGGAAGTTCCCTCAGAGGCCAGTTTCCAATTCTTCTATGTTCATATATATACACACTCCAAGGGGCAGAGTTTTCAAAGATCACAGCTCTTCCTTAAATCATGCTAATTACATGTTCCTCTCAGTGACTCAGACTCAGAATTCTAAAGCACAGCTGTTGGGAGGTAGAAGGCCTAAGCAACTATGACTTTAAATTGCCCCAACAAACCCGTAGAAGGTTTGTCTTCCACACCAAAAACACAACGGCATACTGAGAACCTGAGGTTTACACCAAAGGGACGAGTCACACAAGTGGCAAAGGACCCAAGCATGAAGAATAAATGTAGTTGAA